TTTTAAGTGTGTAAGTTTTTACTTTTGAGACTGTAGTTAACATTTCATGCATGTTGAGGATAGTTCTGTGATATTTGTGCACTCCGTAAATATTTTTGCGAGGACAACTTAATTGTTTTATGTTTAGTCCACTTAAATTTGTAAAAACAATTAGGTTAATTTAACCAATTTGTGTTGGAACAACATAAATTAATTGTGTGGAACCCAGCATTTTTACTATGTTGTTACGATCTTTAGATGGTCAGTCAAGGAGGAGAAGACATAGTGGGAGATAGATATACACTCACCAGCCACTATATTAGGTACACCTTACTAGTACCTGGTTGGACCCCCTTTTGCCTTCAGAACTGCCTTAATGGCAGGATGTTGGAAGTAGCAATCTGAAGATGGGTGCACTTTGGTCATAAAGAGATAGACATGGTTAGCAATAATACTCAGGTAGGCTATAGCATTGACATAATGCTCAAATGGAACTAATGGACCCAAAATGTGCCAAGAAAATATCCCCCACACCATTAAACCCACCACCACCAGCCTGAACCGTTGAAACAATGCAGGCTGGATACATGCTTTCATGTTGTTCATGACAAATTCAAATTGACTTGTGGCAGCAGAAATCAAAACTCATCAGACCAGGCAATGTTTCTCCAATCTTCTATTGTCCAATTTTGGTGAGCCTGTGTAAATTGTAGCCTGTTTCCTGTTCTTAGCTGACAGAAGTGGCACCCAGTGTGGTCTTCTGCTGCTGTAGCCCATCCGCCTTAAGGTTTGACGTGTTGTGTGTTCAGAGATGCTTTTCAGCATACCTCGGTTGTAACGAGTGGTTATTTGAGGTACTGTTGCCTTTCTATCAGCTGAAACCAGTCTGGCTATTCTCCTCTGACCTCTGGCGTCAACAAGGCATTTGTGCCCACAGAACTGCCGCTCACTGGATATTCTTTCTTTTTTGGACCATTCTCTGTAAACCCTAGAGATCCCAGTTGATCAGCAGTTTATGAACTACTCAGAGCAGCCCGTGTAGCACCAGCAACCATGTTACATTCAAAGTCACTTAAATCACCTTTCTTCCCCATTCTGATGCTCAGTTTGAACTGCAGCAGATCGTCTTGACCAGGTCTGCATGCCGTAATGCATTGAGTTTTTGCCATGCGATTGGTTGATTACAAGCAGTTGGACAGGTGTACCTAATAAAGTGGCTGGTGAGTGTATACTGTATATCCACTTAAGTTTAATTCAGTCTACTTAAATTTGTAAAACAAAAAAAGGTATTTATCAAAAAACTCTGGGAATGCATATAGTATTCCATAAATATAGAACTTTTTTTTTTTTTTGATGGGGGGGTGTCACATGATCACTTTCTCCTGAAGTTTAGAGTAATGACTGCTAAAAATGCAGCATTGTAATCTTAGGATTAATATTATTAATATAGACAAGAGTTGTTTCAAACAGTAAAAATGTTTTACAAGATAATATTTTTTCTAATTTTTTTGCAGCAGTTGCTGAGGATAAAAATATTGCCTAACACTCATCTCTTTCTTGGAAAGACTTTCATTACTGATAGTTTTTTAGCTTGATTAAATAAGTATTATAGAGTAATAGACCTAACAGGACTGGATTAGCTCTTGAGGTTTGACCATAAACACAGAACGGAGGGCAGAGAAAGAAAGAGAGGACAGATGCACTCACCGCCATTCTGGGAGCTCTGGCCTGGAACGGAGAAAAGAGTGAAATTAAAAGCATATGATGAAAGAGTTCTCTCCGGCCATCGCGAAGATGAGAAAGAGACGGAGAAATCTCTCACACATGACAATCTGATGGCTGATATATTGATTTTCCACCCTTCATTATTCTTTAAGGCCTCAGAGAGGGAGTTGAGCAATTTTACTCACCCCATGTGTATGTTTGCTGTTCAAGCGCAGAGGGCAAAAACTTTACACACAAACAGAGATTCCCAAGGGGTGTGCTGTGTTTTTAATCTGCAAACGCACAGTGACATAAATCAACTCGTGTCCCCGTGACCTGACGACTGCCGCCCCTCTGGACCAACTTAGAACTGGTGGCTGTTGCCAAACGATTGCAATTTACACGACCAGCCATGCGAGGAGGGTGCGTCGTCACGCTATTGCTGCGTTTGTAAATCCTAATGAATCAGACCGTCAAACATCAGAGCTGAATAAATAACGCTAGGCTTAGCTTGACCTTGCAGTCACCTCAAACTGGCAGGATTTCTTTGGATGAGCTGCGACCTGTGTCCCGATCAAGGTGACAAGTTTGAACATGACTATACAGAGGATGCACATTTACCACTGTGAATGCTTTTTATTCACCTTTCACTTGTTTAAAACCAGTTTGAATATTTGTTTTCTTATAAACATGAAAAAGAAGATATACTAAATAATGTTGGAAGGCCGTAAACATTGATATCCATAGGGAAAAAAACAAATACTATGTTAAGTCAATGGTTACAGGTTTTCAGCTATTTCAAAGCATCTTATTTTTTTCAACAGAAGAAAGAAAATCAAACTGTATTGGAAGAACACTGTTACAATGAAGGGTTCCATCGAATGAATCAAATTAACCTAATTAGTCAGTTTGTCACAAGGGAGATGCTGACAACGAAGTGCCGATCCAAATGCAGGAGTTATTATTAAGAGAATGGTCAGGCAGGCAATGATCACAATCAGGAGCAAACAATAACATGCTGGCAAATCCAGAAGAAAGGTCAATAACCAGGCGAGTGGTCGATCCAGGAGACTAACAACATAAACAGACCAAAACAAAACAAACAAACAAAGCAAAGTGAAGGTCGGCAACGGAAAGACAAGAGTAGGAAAATGTGTCGTAATGTTAACTTGACAGATAAACACAACTTTATTGTCAACTGTTGCTGGAGTTGATGAGCGCAGGGGCTTCTGGGAGTTGCAGTTTGTTCAGCAGTAATCTCCAATATAAAAAACCTCACTGGCGATTGCAACAAACTGCAGGAAAATTGCCAGCATAACACCATTGAACTTATATTATGTTGAATTGACTTAAAGGGCCACGAAACCCCCCTGTTTCAGCGGGGTGTTTTCACACCTCTAGTTTGGAAAAACTCAGGAAAGTGGGTGTGTTCAGCTCTGTTTAGGTGACAGTGTCGGGGGAGGGAAAGAGAAAAGGTTTGGCATAAAAGGTTTTCTTCAACATCAACTGGAACCGCGTCATTTTTAAAAGGAGACGAGCAGCAAATCGGGATTTCACCATTTCCTGATTCGAAAAGCTCTCGGGTAAAAAATGTTCCACACAAATGTATATTTGCTGCACGCACTGTAGTCCACACGTAAGTCCAGCTGCGCTCTCATAGCAGGAAATGAAAACAAAGCTTTCATTGCAGCACATTTATAAACACAACACTGACGATCCGTGTCTCCAAACAATTCTTGTTCTTCCACTTGTTTTGGCAACACACCAAGGCATCTCTGCCATCTGAACAATGTAACAGGTAAAAACAGTCTTCGAAGCTACAGTATCATGCATAATAATGAAGTTGCACGTCATTCACAATAGAGCATGCTAATTGGTTTGAACCAAGTCTTTCTCATGAATTAATGCTGCACACTCTGAGACGTCATAATGTACTCTCCGGTACAGACATCCAGTCTATACACTGGAATACATGCAAGAATCTTAACGCCATGACGTAACTTTAAAAACGGAAGAACTAATTTGCTCTAAATAACGTTAAAACAACCAATTTTCACTTTTTTGTGAAATATATGTGTCCTAATAGTGTTTATAGCAGTGTGGGACACATATATGACTATCAACAGCTCAAAAAAATGTCTTTTGGTGTTTTGTGACCGTTTAAAACAGCTTGCATAACTTATAAAATTAAGTGAGAACATGACAAGTTAGAACAAGTTACAATGACCTAAAAATATATGCTGTCAGGGCTAATTGATCATAATTATTTAAAGTGTAAATAAATGTTGGTTGTTGTTGTTGTTGTTTTGATCATTACCACTTGATAAATACAATCAGATTCCAACTAGATATGCATTAAAATCTGACTTGGACTAAATATCTGAGCAGGTTGATTTACACTACTGTTCAAAAGTTTGTCAGCAAGATTTTATCAAAGTTAAACAGAAAAGTATTATGCTCACCAAGGTTTTGGATCATTTGCTTTATCAAAGATATTGTAAAATATTTACAAATATTATTATAACTAAAAATATGTCATTGGATAATGTAGTTTTTTTTTCCACTTAATGACAAAAGTTTTCTTTTTGGGTGAATGATTACTTTAATTCATATCTTTCATTTAAATACATGCATTTTACTAATCTAAGTACACTCAAAAAATCATTTGATTGCTGCTTGTTTAAACTACTTATTTAAAATAGTTGAAACAACACAATTCTTAAAGTTGGGGGGGGGCAGCTTAAATGATTTATGTTTAATCCACTTAAATTTGTAAAACTGAATAAGTTAACTTAATTGATTTGTGTTGGGACAACATAAAGAAATTGTGTGGAACCCAGCATTTTTTAGACTAAACATAAAACAAATGAATAGTCCAAATATATACAATAATTATGTTGTTTTAGCTTATTTTAAACAAGTACTTTAAACAAGAAACAAAAATCATATATATTTTTTTGTTTCTTTTTGAGTCAGAGACAGAGGTGAATCACTTGCTGTTGCATTGATACCGCTTGTGTCTTATTTGACAATGTGCATTTAATTGGCTGAGCTGATGTGAGGGCGATGTTTGCTTTAGATAGGCTGTCAGGAAGGGTCTCATGCTGTTTTGTGAAGTTCAAGAAAAGGTTGGGGGGAAAAAAGGCATTCTCTACAGCCTCCTTGTGAAAATTGTAGATTGTTCTAAAAGTGGAGAATCTGTGTTTTTCTTGCTATGTTCTTCTGGGGTGGTTGGATTGACAGTAAACTTTCATTAAAGCGCCTGGATATACTCAGGAACACTGGTTTTAACCTGTCAAATCTGCCTCTCTTTTCAGGTGGAGTGGCTGAAGAATGAAGAGCTGGTGCATTCTCTTGAAGACATCAATATTGACACTCGAGCCGACCACAACTTGATCATCAATGAAGCAAGGCTTTCAGACTCTGGAAACTACACCTGTCTGGCCAGCAACATTGTTGCTAGGAGACGTAGTGCCACAGCTATGGTCATTGTCTTTGGTATGGAAACATATTTTTGTTTTGTTTATTATTTAATGTCCTTTCATTTTTCTTTAGATTATTTATCAGATGTCGCCACAGCAGAATGAACCGACAACTATTCCAGCATATGTTTTACGCAGAGGATGCCCTTGCAGCTGCAACCCAATACTGGGAAACACTCTTAAACTCTTGCATTCACTCATACACGATGGCCAATTTAATCCAATTCACCTTTAGCACATGTCTTAGGACTGTGGGAAACCAGAGCACCCAGAGGAAACCCAAACTGTATGGTGTATGGTTAAACATTTTATTTAAAAAAGATATAATTAATTTCACCATGATTTTGGCAAAAAAATCAGAAGCACAAATTCATTTAAGAGTGTTCTAGAGTGTGTTTCTCAAGCTACAGTATTGTACACAATAGTACAAACAGTCCAAAATGCAGCTGCTAGCCTTTTTACTGACACTCGCAAATACAATCATATTACCAATCTTCTACTTTGTTTGCAATGGTTGTCAGTCCATTTTAAACTAGAGTTTACAATTTAACTTTTCATCTATATTCATTTTTAGGTGGACTGGTACCTTTGTGTCGTTCCGACCTGATTTAGAGAAATCCAGCCAGATGTTTACAAAAATATTTAAGAATAACAAACAAGATATATTTATTTTCACTGCATTTAAAATTTCCATCAATGTAGATTAAATATTTGAAACGTAATTGAGCTTATAAACATTATGTGATTGATTTGTGTAAGTTAAGCATATTTAAAATAAATAAGAACCGAATTTATGTAATAATAATAATAATCAATTAAATGTGTTTTAAATGCTCCTATTAATTGAAAACGCATTAGATTTAGTGATGTTATTACATAAATCGTGTTCTTATGGAGTTGTGTCAATTTTGCCCCAGAAAATTAAGTAAACCAATCTCAGCTTTTAACTAATTGTATCTTTTTTACAGCTAGATATATTTATACTTTTATCATAACAATGTTTTTTAAACTCACTAAATCTAATAGTATTTGATTTAACAGATTTTGATTGATTGTAAAGTATCTGACATACATTTAAAAAAACTACATATTAAACAAAAATCAAAAGCTTATTAAAAAACTCCATTGTGGTTATTTTTTAAGTGTAAGGTCATTGAATAAGAAACTTGTATTGGCCCTGATCAAGTCTGAGGGGGAAAAAAAGTTTATGGGATTTTGCCGTAGCCAATACCAAATTGTGGAATACCCTTCCAGTTCCCATTAGAAGAATTGCAACAGAATCACTTTTTTAAATCAAGGCTTAAAGCCCATCTGTTATTGAAGGCTTACTATGTATGAGCCAACATTAGATTTAGATTTTGATTTTTTTGTCTTATAATTGTAAGTAATTAAATTTCTTTTTAAAAAATGTTGTTCAGCACAAATGTCAGCCATTGTTGTTTTATTATGATCTATAAATAAAAGTGAAGTTAAGCTTAATGTCATTACCCAAGAGGCTTCAATGGGCCTTGTAACTTTTAAGAATTACACACCTAAATGAGTCACTAAAAAACAATAATTTTTATATAAGATTGATTCTGCAACATGACAAGTGAAGTCATAAAAATATTCAAAAACACTTATTGAATGCTTTAACCCTTTATTAAGTTAGAACTGTTGTCCATAGATCATCAATAAACAGATTTGGGCTGAAAAAAATATTCAGAAATGGGGTAAAAAAATCTCTTTAAAGATAAGTAACTAAATAATTTACGGCAGATTCTTAAAAAAAAAAATACTGAATTCAATTAGAAAAAGACCACCCGCTTTGAATGTTATCGCTCGATTGAATGGGCATTATCAGTGGTTATCAGCTGATAGATATGGGCCAGTAGAGCCCTTCTGCACATACTGGTCGGCTCAGAAGACCTTTATTATCCATCCACATGGTTAATCAGCTGTACCAATAGAGAAGAATCCAGATCCAGATCTGTTTGTACATTACTTTGACAGTTGGGTTTAGGGTTGGGGTAGAGGTAGACATTAATAAAATACAATTCATGCGAAATTTAATAAATAATCTAAATAATTCTTGCTGTTAATCTGCTGTACTAATAGAGTAGACCCCAGATCCGTTTTTACATTACTGTGACAGTTGGGTTTAGGGTTGGGGTAGGGGTAGACATTAATAAAATACATTAAATGGGAATTTGAATAAATAATACAAAATATTTCTTGTTAACTTCCGGTCACAGCTGTGTGATCTATACAGTAGCTGAATAACCATGTGGATGGATAACAGCTTTCTGAACCTACCAGTAGGTGCAGAAAGTCTATATCTATGGGGTGATGACCACTGAAAACGCCCATTCAATCAAGTGATAACATTCGAATCGGCTGAAAATACCAAGTGACTTTCTTTAAATGAGTAATCCAAATATTTGACTTCAAAGCAATTTTACTGACGTAGTCTTTATTTTGAGTGAGTAACTACTGTAAATAATTCACTACCAATTTTATTCAAAAGCAATGATTCATTCAGGTACAGACTTGAGTATGAGTCATGGGTTCATTTAGTTGATTTCTTAACAAAAGCATATTACATGTATGTTTTCTGAATAAATGTGCAGTTTTAAACTAATACGCTGAAAGAATTCATCTTTAGTTTACTCATAATGCCTCATCACCGGTTACTTGCATAATGATAATAATGATATCGCTAAAAAACAGTCCCCTCCATTCATAAACAAACTACCAGTGTGTTATAGTGTACAAACACAGACGTTTGGAATAACACAAACAGCAAATGGAATATGAGAGCCATGAAGGAGACACAAGAAAATAAAACAAGCTCTGTCTCATCCTTCTGAGTGCAAGTTTCAGAAAACTTTCATTCAAACGTCTGGATTTGTGTTGATGACAATGTGTGAAAGTTTGACATGCTGCAGAATGCCACCGCCCATCCATTTAGTCACCTACACCGACCTTCACTCCAACAGTTTACAAAAAACCATCACCTATAAATCACCATCCCGCCACGACCCATGACACAGCGCCCTCGTTTTTCAAATCCCCAATAATTCATCAAGTGAGATGTACTGTAGAAATACAGCGTTTCATCATTTCTCCAGCCCTGTGTCTGCGTGAGGCCATCACTTAGACGCCCGGTAAGGGTTCGATTATCTATTTTTGTCAACACATATAATGAGTTAATGATTCTAACGCTCCCCGTGTGGCCAGTATTGCCACGGTTCAGGCTCCATTACCCTAATTGACATGGTCTCCTAGTGTTTTATCCTCAATATTTTGATGATAAGGTAATATGGCTTGCTCTCTCTCCCTTCTGAGATTCAGGCACAGATCAGGGCTAAGGCTGGCGGTTTCAGAGGCTTGATTAAACACACTGAAAAGCTTTGACATGAGCTGTCAGAAGCAGCCAGCGCTGATTGAGCGCTAGCTGACTGATCCGCAATTAACGTTTACCAGCTAGCGTAGCGGCTACAATTTAATGTGACTCCCAGCAGTCCTTAAGGCTGGGCAGACACAAGAGAGCATACTTGTGTGTTCTATTGGAGCAATAAATATATTGTTTGTTGGTTTTGATAATGTTCGCAGAGCAGAGTTAATGAGACGACGCACTGGTTAAGTGAACTCAGCTAGCATGCTGTATTCAAATAAATCTGTCCTTCATACGTCCGCTTCATGTAAGCATTCATGGAAATCTGTTTTTAGCTATTTGTTTTTTCTCATTAAGTCTTCGCATGGCTGTTAGCGCTTGTCTGAGATATGTTTATTAAGTCTCGGGTAATGCGGAATGACATTTAATGTAATATCTGTATAATCCAGTTAGAATCTCTTTCAAATACCAATTAAATTATCAAGTCATTTCTGATTTGATTAGATTGAGTATTACATAGAGCTGTACGTGTTGTTCTTAGCATTGTAAGTATGCATATTGCAGAGGCATCTAGAACGCATGAATGTTATGAGTTTTTATTTATGCGCAAAACATAGCAGGCAATCACTGGCACAAGGGTGGTGGGATGAAAATATTATTTAATATGCACTCACCAACCACTTTATTAGGCACTACATGCTAACACTGGATTGGCTTCAGAGCTCTCTTTAGTTTTTGGCATAAATATAACATTTAATGTTGAAATGGTAGCATACTTTATGTACAGTAGTTTCTACAAGATTTGAGGGTTGCTAGGACATTGCTTGAGATTATTTTACTGTAAAACCCAAAAGTTAAGGTAACTCAAACCATTTATGGAAACCGCTTGTAACATTGTAACTATTTAAGTTAAAAAAAAAAAAATCTAAATGAGTACTGTGATGTTAATCCATTTGAGTAAAATAAGCAATTTGAGCCCAGTAAAACCTGATAAATGAAGAGAACTCAAACCAACTGAGTACTGTAAAACCCAATAAGTTAAGGCAACTCAAACCGTTTGAGGAAACTGATTGCAACAAACCATTAATAGAGTTAAAAAAAACTAAATCTGTATGAGTACTGTAATCCATTTAAATTGAAGTAATGAGGTATTTAATTAAACCATTACCTTCAACAGTGAGTTCAAAACTCAAATACTTAGAATTAACTTTTAATAAATTTTGAGTTAACCAAATTCATTTGATTTGATGAAGTTGACTGTTGGGTTTTACAATGTACAGTAGAACCTGTTTAAGATTATTTGAACTTTATGTGGGCTGTTATCCTGCTGAAAGTAGACAAACAATATCAGTACACTGTGGTTAAAAAGTGAACAGCAATATTAATCAAATAGGCAATGGCTGAGAACTAAATTGTGCCAAAAACTTCCCCACACCATTAGAGCAGCAACCTGGACCACTGATACAAGGCAGGGTGGCTTCATGTGGTTTTTGTGTTTTTTATGCCATATTCCGATACTGGCAAAACAGAAAAGAAGACTAAAAAAAGGCAGCCCAATTCCAGTTTTGGTGAGCTGTGAATTATAGCCTCAGTTGTTTGTTTTATTTGCTGATAGGAGTGGCAGCAGTGCGCTATTCTGCTGTTGTAGCTCATCTGTTTCAAGTTGTATGTATATTGTGTGTTTAGAGATGCTTTTCTGCATATGTTGGTTGACACAAAAGGATATTTAGGTTACTGTTGTCTTTCCATCAGATTGAACCAGTTTGTCCATTCTCCTCTGATATTTATCATCAACCAATTGCTGCATTGCTTTTTAAACAATTCTCTTTAAACCCTATAGTTATGCACAGAAATCAAGAAATTCTGAAATACTCAGTCCAGCCCCTCTTTCACCAACAATACTCTGTTTAAACGTAAGTATTCGGTTTAAACTAGTTAGATTTGTAAACAGGGATGGGCAGTATTTATGATACAAGTATTTCAAATATGTATTTCAAATACAAAATATTATTTTGTAATTTATATTTGATAGGGTTTATAAAAATGGGTAACTGTTTTTCATCAAAATATTTCAGTGTATTGTATTTGTGTATTTTTAAACTACTGTAAAATACTTTGTAAGAAGTCTACATGATGACATCATAAAAATGCAGCCCCTGATTGCTGCTTTATCATCATTTGCCTAGGCTTGAGATCAGAACAGAAAATTGATTTATATTGAAAAATGGCGTCAATACCTTGATTATGAATGGAAATTTTGAAACAACAAAAACTTGACATTAAAGAGATCATCTTCAAGACAGGACTTTCTGTATGAAATTTGTACAAAATTAATTTAATGCCTGGACACATACCAGCAAACTTCTTGCTCAAAGAGAAACATAGGTTTTTGAATACCTACTCAGGTGTTTTTGTGGAGGTTTCAGAGGTGTGGACAAGCTGACTTAAACTTGCTCAGAGAATCTGTGCTGCTGTCCAATATTGTTTACTTCACTATGTCAGTTTATGGGTTAAGAGATTGATTGAACATGCCTTTTGAAGATGAAACTTCATGCTCCCTTGCAGAAGTATTTTGTAGTATTTTTGTGAGGTTTGCGAACCAGGAAAGCTTATAGTGGGTTCTTAAAGTATTTTAAAATGAGCAAACCCTCAAAAAATGATGGCACAACTCCCTGATATAACGTGCAAAGTGATGGTTTATTTACAGTGTACGAGAGTGAGAACCAAAATAACCCAAAACCCAGGAACGTAACTAAACAAACTAAAATGAAAGAATAAATAAACAGCAAACAAACAATATATGTACAACCAATACTAGTCAAGTTAACTGACTCGAATTGCCGTTTGGGGCTGCCTTTTAAAGGTGAAGCCCCGCCCCTTTAACATAAACCAACATGCAATTAAAAAGTAAGTATACACATCTGTACATGTTCTCAAGTTTAGTATTTAAAATACATTAAACACTAAACAATTAATCAAAGTAAACTATAGTACAGTACAAAGTAAAGTAATAGTACAGTATTTTATTTTGATACTTGTTGTGGCTGCTGTATTTTGTTACAAAATTGAGGTATTTGGTATTTTTATTTAAAATACATTTCTATGTATTTTGTCCAACCCTGTGTGTAAAGCATCTGCACACAATTAGTATTACTTATAAAGTGGCCTGCCATCCAGTAGGCACCCTGGTGTCAAAACATCTGGAAACAGAATTAAAAAATTGGGATTTATTTGATATTAATTGGTTACTTTGTTAATGACATGATGTTAAAATTGACGTCTAACACCGGTGTCAAAAAACATGTAAAATCTCAATTGCAGGAGAGTCCTGTAATTGATTTTTCTGTGTTTTTTTGACACCAGTTTTAAATGTCAATTACATTTTGTTTTGACATCAAGGTAGCTTAAAGTACGTACATTGTAGGAATAAAAAATCCAGTTTAAATTTGTAATTTAAGGATGAATTTTGGATGAATACATTTTTTTATGTATTCTAATACTTTTTGAGGCTTTATGTTGGTGGTGATCAATCTGTGAACGTCAAATACACATCATGGCTTGGAAATCAAAACGTTTGCATGGGTTTCCACCGGGTGCTGCGGTTTCCCTCACAAGTTCAAAGACATGCAGTACAAGTGAATTGGGTAAGCTAAAATTGTTTGTAGTGTATCTGTGTGAATGAGTGTGTGTGAGTGTTTCCCAGTGATGGGTTGCGGCTGGAAGGGCATGCGCTGCGTTAAACATGTGCTGGATAAGTTAGCTGTTCATTCCGCTGTCGCAACCCCAGATTAATAAAAGCACATGAAGTTTGGATAAACAATGACAGTGATGTAGGCTTTTAGTGATGGCCTTTTTTAAATAGTTGGGTTAATTTTAATATATTTTTTCTCTCTCTTTATCAGTGAATGGCGGTTGGTCATCCTGGACGGACTGGTCAGAGTGTAATGTCCGCTGTGGGAGAGGAGTTCAGAAGCGGACACGGACCTGCACTAACCCCGCTCCACTTAATGGAGGGGCTTTCTGTGAGGGAATGTCAGTTCAGAAGAGCACCTGCACATCTCCCTGCCCAGGTTAGAGACATGTTGTAACGGGGAGACTGACACGGAGGGATCCATTTTGCAGTATTTATTAAGTCACACTTAAACATCAACACCTCGCACGGCTGTGCGAACATACAACATACAACTCAACGATGATTAGCAGATAACAGAGGCAGAGTGATTACCAGGCTTGAGTCAAGGGCAGGCAGCGTGGTTCAGAGTCCGTAATACAGGCTTTAGTCAGGGGCAGGCAGCGAGAATCAGAGTCCGTGTAATCAGGCTTTAGGTCAAGGGCAGGCAGAAGACAGAGCAGAGTCGAGAAACGGGCTGAAGTGGTCAACGGGAAATCAGGCAGGATAGAACACTCAGTAATGCTGGCCGGGGCTAAACAAGACTTCGCAATGAAGTGTGTGTGTGAGCTGCTTATATGTGGTACGTGGGTCATTAGTGAGATGGAGAACAGGTGTGCTGGGATCTGAGTGAAAAGGATGACGTAATGGTTAGAAGTCCGGAGATGATGACCTCTGCTAGTCAGCGAGGGGAATGACTGGGACCGAGTCGGTGACACATGTAGTGTAGGCACCCTAATCAATTTACTCTGATTTGTGACCAAATATGAGTAGAATATTTTGTTGCCAGTTTTTTGTTACTGAACTCACTTACTAAATCATTGCCTTTAATCCATATCTACTGCTCTCAGAGAAACATTAAAGCATGCCTGTTTAAAAAATGAATCAGATAATTCGGTGTGCATTATAATGAAGTCCAGTCCAAATTAGCATGCATCAATACTTTTTAAACAGGCAGCAGTCTGCTCTTCTTTTTTTTCTCTCCAGCTCTTTGTTCTTGAAAACCCTCAAGTGAATTTTTTCAACAGATTCAATGGTTCAGGGCTGGTCAGTCAGGCGACGTGAATATGTCTCAATGCTATGCCTTGTTAATTAAACATGCTTTCTGAACAAATTGATAGCTAATCTATCTGTCTGGAAGCCTGCATATAAAGCAGGAACTTGACAGTATGTGATGCATTTGAATCGGCTTCAGCAGCAGAAGACTATAAGAAGAGTTTTGCAGTTGATATGTGTCTGTGTTCTGTTAATGCGGCATCGTCATTCTCAAAGATTTCTTGTTTACGGTCTGAAGTGGAGTGCGATTCTAAACAAAAGAAAATGGACTGAGACAGATTAATAGGGAAGAAAGAAATTCGGTAAGACAGTAAACTGAAAGAGAGCTGCTGTATGTGACAGTGATATGATGGTGAAGGGAAAATCGAGATTATGAATTTTCCTAAGTCTGAGTTTGGGAAATCAAGACACACATATGAAGGGAGAAGGAAATAGAAACCAAATGGAGTGACAGTGAGAAACAGAAGAGAGAGTTATCAGTCGCCAGATGCTCGGGTGCTCTTACGCTTGCTAAATTTATGGTTTCATTGGAAGCACCAATCACACGGGAACCACTAGTCATGTTGGGGGAAAAGTTATCTGAGGAGGGCACCAGTCACTCTGCGATGGAAAAAAAAAAAACTTAATCTCGCTCTCCAGCCCGGCTCAATCCCAGTACCCCACTCAACAGACACACACACAAACATGGCATTTGCATTTAGATTAGCCGCAGAGGAAACACCAGCAGCCCATGGAGTCGTTAGGGTAAAGGGAAAAGCCTGATGGAACAAGACAAAAGTAAATTGTCTTTCGCTTTTGTGAGAGACAAACCTTGAGAGGGAAAATCCTGGAATTATCGGAACACCACCTGCAGAACGAGGAACGAAATGAGTGACCATTCCGAGAGAAATTTTGTATCAGATACATAAGATTGTTCTGAGGGGAAGTATGATTTCCAATATTTTAGTTGCAGACTTTGCATATCATCACTGTCAAGTGTCTAAACTTCTTAGAAGTTTGCACCCGACCACTACTAACCATAACCACTTCTTTTCAGGAAATGGGAAAAACTCTATGAAATAAATACTACATTATTAAAGTTGGTGGTTTGGCGTGTTAGCAAAAACAAACATATGGTTTGTGAACACAAGGAGAACATGCAAACTGCACAGAGTAATGGCAATTGGTCCAGCCAGGACTCGAACCAGTGACCTTCTTGCTGTGTGGCGACAAGGCTAACCACTGAGCCACAGTGCAATCCTATAACTTAACCATCAAATATTAATTATTTATGTAATATTTATTATATTGATAAAATGTTAATATATAAACACTAACAATCTTTTATGTGCACTAAAGATTAAAAAAGTATGTGTTTGTGTGTGTTTAACAGTGGACGGTGGCTGGTCTGAGTGGACTATGTGGTCTGAATGTACTTCTGAATGTGAAAGGCAGCGCACCAGAGAGTGTACAGACCCGGAGCCAAAACATGGAGGAAGACTGTGCGATGGAGCCGCTCTAGACACAGACAACTGCACTGGAGACCTCTGCATTCAAGGTGGGTAATCCTCAATATCATTATCATTTCTACTGTTGTTTGCCAGCTTATTTTTAGAAGATGTGTGGGCGCAGTCATTGGGAAATTGAATGTACAAAGCCTGTTCTTTTTAGATGCATGAAACACTTTGATATGCTTGTTGATATTGCAAACTTTAATTTCCTATCGACTCACTTTCTTTAATGTTTTTACATAATTATAAATACGCTCTTTTATAGCAAAGAGTTTTACCTTTTTGTTATTGTTCCACTCATTTTGCTATAATGTCGAATGAAGTGCATCAATTAAAAACCACCAACTACACTTAAATAACTGGTTTCTTAGCAGTACATTATTTAGTGTAAAAATAATAATTAACAAAGTTTGAAAATACAATCAAGTGCATTATATATATATGAAGAATACAGCATTTGTACTAAAGCATTCTATCTATCTATCTATCTATCTATCTATCTATCTATCTATCTATCTATCTATCTGTCTGTCTGTCTGTCTGTCTGTCTGTCTGTCTGTCTGTCTGTCTGTCTGTCTGTCTGTCTGTCTGTCTGTCTGTCTGTCTGTCTGTCTGTCTACACTCACCAGCCACTTTGTTAGGTACACCTGTCCAACTTCTTGTTAACTCAAATTTCTTATCAGTCAATCACATGGCAGCAACTCAATGCATTTAGGCATGCAGACATGGTCAAGATGATCAGCTGCAGTTCAAACTGAGTATAAGAATGGGTAAGAAAGGTGATTTGACTGGTTTGAATTGAAAGAAAGAAAGGCTTCAGTAACACAAAGAACCATTTGTTACCACCTGGGTATTTGGAAAAGCATCTCTAATCGTACAACGCATCCAACCTTGAGGTGGATGGACTACAGCAGCAGAAGACCACACTGGGTGCCACTCCTGCCAGCAAAAAAAAAAAAAAAAACAGGAAACTGAGGCTACAATTCGCACAGACTCACCAGAATTGGACAATAGAATATTGGAAAAACATGGCCTGATCTGATGAGTCTCAATTTCTGCTGCGACATTCAGATGGTTGGGTCCGAATTTGGCATCAACAACATGAAAGCATGGATCCATCTTGCCTTTTAACAATGGTTCAGGCTGCTGGTGGTGGGGTAATGGTGTGGGGGATAGTTTCTTGGCACACTTTTGGCCCTGTACTACTAGGGTGTACCTTATAAAGTGGCCAGTTAGTGTATATCAATCATTTGCTGTAATTATTGTCACATCTATCCACCTTTCTATTTGTAGATTTTACAATGTGTTTGAAGTGTTTATATTATAAAACCGCTTACTAATATCTATTAATATACAGTTAATGCTTAACCAATAATAGCTATTTCACTATAACTATTTGCTAATGTTTATTAAATGATTAAAAGTGTGCAGTTGTTATAAAGTCCTACAGTTACAAGAAGAACTGAACAAAAACAAGTGTTTTGTTTTGACACAAAATGTCCATAGTTTGTACTTCACACGACGCCGTGTGTGGTGGTAAATTGTTAAAGAGGCTAAATACTCTCCTGTTATTCAGCTCATGCAAGTCGGTCAGCACAACACAGATGGGGAGCGGTAAAAAATCATCTCATTTTTGTTTAGATGAGTGGAGACAAGTGCTCTGTGGAAGGCTGTCAGCACCTGAATGAAACCAGTCAGTCAAGTCCTCAGACGAGCGGCACTTGACAGGCCGTTTTGTAATTCCTTGGGAGAGGCAGAAATCTTCTGTTTTAATCCTCCTCGCTCATCATCCTGACAGTTCTTTAATCAATCTTTCCTGCCTCCATCCCCTGAGGGAGGAAGGGTGTACACCTCGCCATCCTCTGCAGATGAGACTAAAGCCCAACGGTGATAGACATCCCTATCAGAGACCAATTTCCTACACCTAATACGGACACACACACAGCCACGCACACTAATGCATCCGTAACCGTCTCTCCGTGGTCATTTTGTGTAAAAGATTTGACAGCGATTCCAGATTACATGCCTGTCATTGGCCGCCATACATATGTAGATCTGTGTTGAAACAGTTTGATTCAGTGCTGTCTGTTATTTACCTCCTACATGTTTCTGGAAATGTTGTGTATTGAAAGTGCAAGGAGGATTTCTGCTTGCTTTGTCCAATGGCACAACTGTGATCTTACATCGTCACACCAAATGGGCTTTTTAGTATGTTTCTAGCAACTTCCAAACATGCCCCAGAGCTCTGTTTGTGCGTGAGCATCTTAAAATTGCAGTATTTGTGAGTCTCACAGCATGTTATGTGTGGTTGTTGTTTTTTTTTTTTTGCAGACAGGAAGCTTCTTCATGATGTGAAGGTTCCACAAGGTGAGTCATTTCAGATCTGTGTGTTTCAGTTCTCTTTTGCTTTAATTTTTTTTTTAAACATCAGTTTCATAATTAATTTACATGCATCACATTGCTTTTAAAATACGCTCGCAGGCATATGAAGGATGATGTAATAACGCTGTGTTGCATCACAATCATCCATCTTAATATTGTCGCTCTGTTCGCGGCGTGTGTATAATTAACCCCTTTTAATGTTATCATCATTCTGAGTCACACTCCACAAACAACCTTATTGCAACCTTTCCATAAGCTCATTTCCACGCTGACATTGTTCAACATTGGGTTGATGCCATGACAATTAGGTTTCCTGTGAATCATCATCCAGTGCGCCATTCGAAAGCACCTGAAAACCAATTAAGCCGATGGCATTTTAAAGACAGCTTTCAGAGTGTTGACTCACAAACTGGGCCTCATCTACTCCACAATGACATGTCTTTAACAGTTTTCTTTTTTCTTTGAGGAAGGTCAGTATCTATGTCATGATTAAATGTGGCCAAAACAAAGATCAGTAAACTTAACCTTAACTCTTAATCTTCATCTTTTACAAATATTTACAATATATATATATATATATATATATATAAATATATATATATATATATATATATATATATACAGTTGAAGTCAGAATTATTATTTTAGAAGAAAAAAATATTAACAGAAATACTGTGAAAATGTCATTGCTCTGTAATAATTGTGACTTCAGTAAATTTATTTCAGATAAGAACAGAATGAGATTATGAGTTATTTTCCTTAAAAATAATTATAAAATTATGTGGAAATAATAAATTAAATGTTTCTTTAGGGTCTTAAAGCATCTTAGTTTGTGTGCTAAAAATATGCATTGGTAACACTTTACGATAAGGTTGTATTAGTTAATGTTAGTCAATGTATTTATTAACATTAACAAACAATGAACAACACATTTATTACAGTATTTTTAAAATACTGCTATTAAATTGCTTAAATGCTGCTTTTATTTATTTATTTATTTATTGAAAGATTTATTTTTGGCATTTTTGCCTTTATTTGACAGGACAGTAGGTTGGCAGGAAGTGAAGTGGGAAAGAATGAGCGGGGTAGGATCGTGAAAGGTCCACAAGCCGGGATTCGAACTCGGGACACCCAGAACCATTCCTCATCATATGTCAATGAGCTAACCACTGTCCCCCATTTGTACCTACATTTATTTATTTATTTAATTGGATAAAATGATCAGTGATGGGTAAAATGACACTATAAATAAACAGCGTTACTTACAGCGATACTTTTTTCAGCAACAGGTAATCAAATCATTTACTGTTTCCCCCATTACAACGCCCCATTACAATAAAATTTTGCATTACTATAATAGAGAACACTCAAGCAGTATCTCTCTCAGCCATAGGACCTCTCTTTCTTTGGGGTGTGTCTATGTGCGTTTGGGGCTGGGGCGGGACACATAATTAACCAGTAATGATGATTGGTGTGTATGTGAACGTGATGTAACTGAGAATGTGATAAACCAGTTCAAAAGCACTGTTTGCAAACTTGAAATATAACCACTACTTTTTCCTTTGTTGAGGTAAAAGGCAAGAATGTTTATGTATCTTGCAACTTATGCCGAGGAAAAAAAAAACCTCTCTGCGTTGGTGACAAGTATTCTAATCTAATGAAGCACCTCATGTCGTCACAAAACTAGTGGCTATGCAGGTGATAAAATAATCTCTGCTACCAAAGAACAAGAGAAAGCCACAACGTCAAAGAAAATAAAACAGAATTTTTGTTCACCGCAAACACTTATTACTCAGATAGAATTAAACAAAATAATACCTAGTTTAATAGTTAAGGACATGCTGCCGTTGTTTCTCTTATTGTCACACAACAACATTAAAAAAGTGAAGATTAGCGTACAATGTTTCATATTTATTTTATAGTCATTTGACATTCGATTTTTTTTTTAAGTAACGCAATAGTTACTTTCCCTGGTACTGTAATTAGTTACTTTTATAATTATGTAACTCATTTACTATTTGTGAGAAGTAACTTGTAACAACGTATAACTGATTAGTATTTTAAAGTAACCTGCCTGTAACCTTAAAGTAACACTGAACATAATCCAAGTACATCATGAAGTGAAGAAACTTTTTGATAATTCATGACCATGACTTCAATTATTAGTTGATGAATAAAAAGTAGTTGAATCTAGTTGTAAACTATATAGCCATCAATAATGGAGTAGAAGTATCTGATCATTGGCTGTATTTAAACTCTCAGCCCACCATTCAAACTTTCATTTTTGTCTAGCACTAGCACTAGCAAAAAACTGTCTCTTAACCATTTCACTTCCACTCTAAGAAAAAACTAATGGTTAAGTTGTGTTCATGACACCCCGTAAGGAAATTTGGATTTTTGTTTGTTTTTATTGGTAATCTATATGGACAAAAGTTCTACCAAACAATTACGATAGGGTTCAAAATGAATTGAGTCCTTTGATATGCTTCCTGCACTTCCTGTTTTAACTCACTGAGCAGTTTCTAGTGGTATTTAAGCTTCATCTGAATAATCTGAGGGAGAGGTCCAGAGGAAGAGAAACAAAATAAAAATGCAGCGAAGTGAGCAAACACACAAACACAAGCGCAAAAGAGATTCATTAGCCTGCCAAACTTTTTTTTTCCACAGCTCCCAATTAACCTACTCTGTTTGCTGTTCGTGCAGCTCCACATGTTTTCTGGCTAGTGTTTTCATACAGCCGCAGGCTTTGTATGTTATTCCTTATACCTGTCTGGAGGCTTTTTTTCTTAGGATTTCTCAGGAAAGACACGCTAGCTTTTCTTTGTTGTCTCTATTGTTCACAGTGTCCTGGTTGAATTGTTTTGCGTGAAGGAGTCTGCAGATAGAGCCTAATCACTACAGATGAGATAATATAATGAGGTGCGTTGTCATGAAATCCCAACGGAAGGTTGGTGGTTTTTCGCTTTGCTAGATTCGCAGTGTGTGATCGTGTTGAGAGTCAGGTGTGCGGCAGAGGGCTGATTGTAATCGCCCATCGCTGGAGGACTTTTATTAGTGCTGGAGGTGTCTGGAAAAGTGGGAGAGAGACTTCTGTGATGAAATGGTTCATGTTATGTCATTTATTTTGCTGTGTTTTGTCAAGGGTGCATGCGTCAAAATGAAATCCCTCAGCTATTGGTTGGAAATTTGAGCAAATAAATAATGGGGTGTCTATTTGCACTTACTATATGCCGGATTCCAGTCGAAGTTAGGTCTTGGAATTTCAGAGAATATATATCCCATTTTGAGCCTCAATGCATTCCAGTCAATCACGTGTCACAGTTGCATGTTCAGCACATCATGTCAACCAAAAAAAAGCAGAAAATGCTGACGGAAAACAAAAAAATAAGGTAACATATATTGTAAAAAAATCTTACTGCCTTAAATTATTTAATTATATAAAATAATTTTTTAGTCATCTTAAATTAAATTAGTGAAAATTACTAAAAATATTAAATTACTGTAAACCTTGTACACTACCTGACAAAAGTCTTGTCCCATATGCAAGATTTAGCAAGAAAAAATAATAACTTGACTTCTAGTTAATCATTTGGTATCAGAAATGGCTTATATGAAAGGCAAAGACCATTAGATTACTCTTATTTTACCAAAATAAAATTTGATCATGCCTTGATTTTTAATTATTTAATTAGGACAGTAAGCACTGACTTTGCTTAAACAAAAGCCCAGTGGAAAAATAATTAAAATTGTGTATGACTTCCATGAGCTTGGAGAACTGAATCCATGACTCAAATAACTTCTTAATAAAGTCACTTGAAATGGAAAAGAAAGTGTTCTTGATGAACTTCCAAGAGGTCATCAAGATTTTTTGGTTTCATCTTCAATGTTGTAACCCCAAACCATGATTTTTCCTTCACCAAACTTGACTGATATCTGTGAGAATCTTGGTTCCATGCGAGTTTCAATAGATCTTCTGTAGTATTTGTGATGACTGGAATGCAGTTTAACAGATGATTCATCAGAAAAATCTACCTTCTGCCACTTTTCCAAATGATCAACACAAAGTACAGTTATTATTTGTTGCTCTTACAACTGGGGCTCTTACAACTTGAAACCTAATTAACGTATTAAAATAAGTTACAGTAACATAAAAAAAACATGTGTTGTCATGACTTTTTGTATATAGTTTTTTTTTAACAGTGTATAAATTCCCATCTCACGTTTATTTTTAATGATACCACTTATGTTTGTGCTGTAAAAATACTTTCAATGGTAGCAGAACTAGCCTTAAGGCTGGAGCACTCTGAGACGATTTTTGCGTTTAACGACTCGTGACTAAGCAAAGGTCGCCAGTGTGAGCGTGCACAGTCTGCACTCAAATACACAAATAATAATAAATAAAAAACACCTCAGGCTAATCTTTTTTGGTTTAATGTGTCACGTTAAAACTGGTTGACCAATAAGATTTGCAAGAATTGTTCACGTGCCTGAAGCTGCTGAAGTTACATCAAACATGACTCGGTGGTGCTCAAGCACAAAATTACCTACTGTTGGCAAGCACACATTCCTAACAGCAAAGAAGATTCACTAAGGAAAGATGAATGGTATTTCTGCCATTTATTTAGTGCAGTGTAACAGCAGGGAGTGATTTTGCACATTCACTCTGCTCATAACCAGGGATAATTGCTGAAAAACATGTTGAACAATGCTGACAATAAGTGCAAATGAAAATCATCTGCATATGCACAAGCGTTTAGATGAAACATAATTAGAGAAATCTGTAACTAATAATGTATTATCAGATTAAATATTTGTTTTAAATAAAAATTATTTACTCAATAAAAAGTTTTTTTGCTGTATTTGATAAAACTGTGTTGGACCAACTTAATTGTATTTCTTTGTGTAAATTGCATTTTTTTAATTGTTTTTTAATTGGTGCTATAAAAAATATTAGATGAAAAAACAAAAATTAAAAAAAAAATTGTGGGCAATTTATTTTTAAAAACAGTAATTTGTTATTAAAATGTATTCAAATTAAAATTATGCATGTCATTGAGGTTGGGGAAACACAATCTTACGGCAATTCATACAATCTCATTCGTATAACTTAGTACAATTTGCTTTTCCCCCAAAGATGGTGGGGTTTAAGAGCAGGGTTAGGTGCCACGCCTTCTTTTTAAAATCATACATTTTCGTACGACTGAACTCAATGTGAGATCAGGCTGAGTTGGGGTTGTTTGATCTTCCCTCATAAACACAGGTGCATTGTAAAATTCCCTCATGTACGTAGAACTTCCTTCAGAAACGTGCTTGAGAACCACTGACCTAGGGAGTTAGAAACATTAGAGAGGGAACTTTTAATACAATGGACCGAAGTTCAAATCCATCTTTCAAACACACCGATTTTTCTGTTTGTTTGTTTGTTTGTTTTTTCGTTTGTTTTTTTCTTCTCATAACATAGCAGATCACATAGATGCTTATTTTGAATAAACAAACTAATATTAAAAAGTCTAATTAAAATAAAAGAAAAAATGCCTAAAATAAAATGCCTAATTGGTGCTTAAAATGTGGGTGAAATAAAGAATTACAATATTTCTTTTGTTAAACCACTTTGTTATTCTTAATGTAAATAATTAATCTTTTCAAGTTAATCCACTGCTTATTTTGGTAATCTTATATCAAAATCTGAGTGTGTATCTTCTATCAAAATCTGAGTATATCAAAATCTCCAAAATTTGCAGTGGCAGTCCATCTGTTGATGTCACTGTGGACATCCTTACTAACTGACTGTAAATTAATATCCTTAGCCACACCCCTCTTACCATTAGTTTGCTATGAGAGAACGATGCACCAAAGAAAGCTCCACCCCCTACTCAATATTCAGCACATCACCATACTAAATAAAAGTCTCAGCAACTTCCAGTTCAAATGAACTGCTTATAAGTTGGGGGTTCACTCTGATACAAGTTTTATTTATGGAGAAAATTACTAAGCACTGGAATGTTTGGGTGTTCTGTATTTGTCTGAGATAATTAGGCCCAATCATTATTCTATTTTGTACCCCTACCCCTTCCCCTTAGCCCTTACAACAGAGGGTTAAGGAGAAGGGCTTAAAAATTTACCCCTAAGAGTTGGGACAGCACTACAGCACCTGCACACGTCATCATATGTCATCGCAATCTCATGCTTCATTTGAGATCACCAATCGCAACTGCTGTCGTTATTCCAGTTGTTCTATTTTTTTTGGTATTTATCTTCAGGAATTCACTGAAGGCATATATAATGTTATCATAACGATATAATGTGGCAATAAGATTGTAACTGTACTGTGTATTTACACAGTGGCCATATTCCTCTATGTAAACACACCAAAAACAACATTAACATTATAGCAGACACCTTAAAAAGCCCATTCCCAGCCACTTGACATTACTGACAGGGTATTTGAGTGTCAGAAAGTTGTGGGACTGCTGCACAGGAGTTATTATTATGGATTATAGATAGTGAAGTTTATTAATTTGGGGGGGGGGGGGGGGGGGGGGGGGTTAAAGCATGACGATAAAATACAAACACGGTTATTAATATACTAAAACATATGTTTGTATCTCATCAAAATGATGAGATTGGGGTCCTGAAAAATCTTCGTTCGAAGGGCTATTCATCCCTTCCCCTTAGCTCTACGCCTTCAAGCTAAAGAGAATTGGGACAACCCTTACCCCTTGTTTTGTGCATTCACACCAAGGGCTAGGGATGTCCCAATTCTCTTTAGCTTGAAGGTGTAGGTCTAAGAGGAAGGGGTGAATAGCCCTTCGAACGAAGATTTTTCAGGACCACACTCGAAACCAAGGGGAAGGGATAAGAATTAGAATTGTGATTGGGCCTTAGTCTGCTGAAAATGTAAATATTTCATTCAAGCTGAATCTGATCGGTTGGTCAGTTCTTGTCACGTGACTCGCGGTGCGCTAGCAACATTCCTTTATCTGGGTGCGCCTGGAAGGCACGAGCGCGTCATGCCGCTTGCGCGCTCAAGCCATGCATCCTTCGGAAATAACGAATTTGTGTGAACTCTATAAAAGACTCGCTATGCGAACGACCCCTAAAAGGCCACCATCTTTTGCAATCTCCAACATTTGACATTATTGCACAGACATGGTGGATTCACCTGACATGTTGACAAATGGGTTTCAGATTCATTCCTTGGCAGTTCGTGGGTCCTTTTTTCCTTTAGCAAAGAAACTTTCCAAAGATGTCTGTTTTTACTCATTTGACACCATGTGGGTTAAATTTGACCACTTAAGTGACTGAGATTTAAGCGTGAGAATATGGTCATTTTTCAAAATAAAAGATTGTTCAGACTCAAATAATAAATAAAATGGAAACAATTAATGATGTCTGCACCAATTGGCCCTGCACCGATTGATCCACGGACCTGTCTCAGTGGTTGAGAATGACTAGATAAGGGGTAGGTGCCCCATTTTTAATTTTCCAAATAAGACGTCATCAATTTGATGAATAGATGAAAAGCCGAACATGATATTGCATACATGACAGCAATGTCTGACAAAGGAAAACATTACCGTGATGTAATTAAATACAATGGAACAAGGAAACAAAAGGAAATACAAATAGAATGTCCAATGAAAGTGAAATTAAACACAAACAGAATGTGACTGATCATTTGTGTGTGTTTTTCTATGTTTTTCTAGCTGATGTGGAGAGCAGTAATGACGTGGCTCTTTACTCTGGTCTGGCTGCGGGTGTTGTTACTATGGTTGTGTTGGTCATTGCTGTGACGTTGTATCGGAGGAATCAAAGTGAATATGGCGTGGATGTCATCGATTCTTCTGCACTGACTGGAGGATTTCAGTCCTTCAGCTTCAAAAGTGCCAGGCAAGGTGAGCGAAAAACACAAGTTGACCCTGCTGCAGATGTGAGTCATGTCATAATTATACAGTAGTGTTTGCAATGCAGCAGTGTGAAAAAAATACATTTCTTCCCTTTTATTTTCTCTGTTAATTCAACTTGAACTGTTGAACCTGCAAACTGTTGAAATGTTAAAGTTTTGATTTAACCTGTGTGTTTTTCTGCTTTGTTTAAAGACTCATACTTTTTGTTTTAATTTTCTTTTTATTTTGATGTTTTCAGAATGCTTCATTTATGTGGTTTAATTATACATTATTTGTCTTTTTTGTCTAGTTTGAACCTGTTAGATTTTTTGTACAGTTTTTTTATACCGTTTATTTTATTTTATTTTATTTCTTACTGTTTATTCAGATGTTAAGGAGGTTTTTAATCACTATTACTTTTCTTTCACCAGTAATTATTTTCATTCAGAATTTTTTCCCTATATTGTGTTAATTTAATTTAATTTAATTTTAATTTAATTTAATTTAATTTAATTTAATTTAATTTTATTTTATTTTATTTTATTTTATTTTATTTTATTTTATTTTATTTTATTTTATTTTATTTTATTTTATTTTATTTCATTTTTTACTGTTTATTCGGATGTTAAGGAGGTTTTTAATCACTACTATTCTTTCGGCAGTGAAACTATTTTCATTCAGAATTTTTTTCCCTATATTGTGTTAGTTTTTTTTTATTTCATTTAATTTTATTATTTTTATTTTATCGCATTTTAAATTTAATTTTATAAAATTTTATTTTACTTTTTTATTATTTTATATTTAATTTTATTTATTATTTTATTTTGTGTTATAATTTTATTTTATTTTATCTACTTAATTAAGCTTGTTAAATTTTTTATCTAAATCACATTCTATCACAATCTCAGTATAAACTACCAGACCTAACAAAAAATAAATTTATGCGAAAGAGATATGAATATAGAAAGTGTTTTACTATTGTTATTTAAACCTTCTGCAGAGAAAAATATTGTTCACTGTCTTTATTTTGCACCCTTGGTTTCCACTTTACCTGAGTAAGAAAAAGATGGCTTAAAACAATACTTTTTTTTAGGATCCTTCTTTCAGCTCACTGTGTTTCTTGTCTTCTTGCGTCTCTGCTTTAGGGTGTTAGTTGATTTACTCTCCATGTCTCTCTGCTCTTTCTCTCCTCTGGCTCGTCTGACGCCCCCAGAAAAGGAGATTGATGTTGATGGAGGGGTGCAGAGAGCGGAGCACTAGTTCTATTCAGTAATGGGGCTCGTTCATGGTGCTATCACTCTCCTCGGCCCACTAAACATCACCATCACTACAGACACACATGCCGATCACCAGATGTCGAGACTGGAAGTTTCTAAACACATGAGCTGAAAGACGCCACGGTGAACCCATCAAATGCTTAAAACATCAATGAAATGATGGATGGGTGAATGGAAAGAGGTGTAGCTGGGCATGTAAAAATCTGAAGACATTATAAAAATATCAAGGCTGGCTCATGAATATTAATTGGGGGGCATAGAATTGTTCAGGGTCTAAAATACACACTGTTGTTTTATGCTACAGTTAAATCTATATGGTTTTGAATAATAGTAATAAAAATTTCTCCCTGTGTTGGCACGGGTTTCCACCGGGTGCTCCTGTTTCCCCCACAAGTCACCAATTTTTAATATTATTAATTATACGAATAATTTAGTTATTATTATTGTTAGTAGTATTTCATTTTATTTTTTCACATAATTCAGTTTTTAATAGTGTTTTTACTAATGATATTGCTAATAATGATAATTTGATAATAATAATAATAATAATAATAATAATAATAATAATAATAATAATAATAATAATAACAATCACCATAATAATAATAGTAATAATAATAATAATTATTATTATTATTATTATTATTATTATTATTATTATTATTAATTTGTTTTAAATGAAATATATAATGAAATACGTTAATATTTATTAATATTAAATATATTAATAAATGTGTTATTATTAGTGGCAGCAGTAGTAGTATTTGATTTCATTTATTCATAGAATTCAGTGTTTACTACTGTTATTATTGCTGCTGCTGCTAATAATAATAATAATAATAATAATAATAATAATAATACAATCATTATCACCATGATCATAATAGTAATCATAATAATTAATTTAAATGAAAAATATTATTAAATACCTTAATAGTTATTATTATTAAATGTATAATTAATTGTGTTATTATTAGTGGTAGTAGTAATAGTGGTAGTAGTAATAGTATTTAATTTAATTTATTCATAAAATTCTGTATTCACTACTGTTATTATTGCTAAAAATATTAATTTGATAATAATAATAATAATAATAACAGTAATAATAATTATAATAACAGTAATAAAAAATTTAATTTTTAATGAAAATATTCATGAAATACATGACTATTTATTGTTATTTATTGTTATGCATTATTATTATTATTATTATTGTTGTTGTTGTTGTTGTTGTTGTTGTTGTTGTTTGTTTGTTTGTTTGTTTGTTTGTTTGTTTGTTTGTTTGTTTGTTTGTTTGTTTGTTTGTTTGTTTGTTTGTTTGTTTTATTTTATTTTACACAGCATTACATATGGCAAAATGTTAGACTAGTCTTAAGCTTAACTAAACATAACGGGATTTTGCTCAAATGCACTAATGATGGACAAATGGCTACCTGCCTGAAATGTGCCAGCTCGCTTAAAGATTTGCCCAGAGGTCTTATCACTATTTGAAATCTGTTCTCATTCACCGATGCATTTACAACTCGACAAAATGCTTTGAAATATGGTGGCAATAGTCATGTTGCCTAGCGACAGTTTTTGACAGCACTGCCAATACACCAACAGCAGAGAGCGACTCCGATAGACGCTCATATCACACAAGACAACTGCTGTCATGAAGAGCGAAACCTTTAGCCCTGCATGACAACTCTCGCACATTCAGACTTTGAAAAGATGTGCGGAACGAGAGGTTTGGAGTGCGAGCCGCAGTCTGTCCTCCTGGGCCTCAGTCCAATCTGAGAAACAGAAAATGAGTCCCTCTCACACCTCTTTTTGCCACCTCTCTGAGAAAAGTGCTCTCGTTCAGCCATTGCTTTTTGATGAATAAAACAGATTGAGGGGTGTCTGTGCGAGTGTGAAGCTTTTGCGCGATCTGTCAAAGCTCGTAATGAAACAAGTGGGATCACTTCACACCGCTGGAGCAGCTGCTTCTAATAATCGCGAGATTGTTGTTGGGTTTGTCTCGATGGTTCATTTTGATAAGTGGAGACATTCTGTGCCATCATAATTCATCACTTTAAGAACTGCTTTTTTTCTCTCTCAATTTCACGGTAAGAGTTTTGCAAGGGCTACACATCAAGGTTTGGCTGGTTACCATGATCCAGTTTAGACCTGCTGGTGGATGTCACCCACCATCTGGAACACACCACAAGCATCTGTCTACATTGACTGCCATTAAAATTAAAATAAAAAAACTGAATATTTAGTGAAATGTGAAATGTTAAAGGGATAGTATTTACTCTTTACTTGCCCTCAACAGTTACAAAAGCAGATCAAGGTTATCATAGTTCACAGATAAGTAACGAAAAAACTAACTAGCATTGAAAATTTATTTTCATTTACTGAAATAAAAATAAAAAACTTAAAAAAATAGAACTGAAACTGCATTGTGTATATACAAAGCTAACTAAAACTAACTAAAATGATGGCACAACATCCTTCCTTTTAGTCTTTGTAAATGTATTTAATACACAAGCCTACTGTAAGCTTTTTAGAAGTAAATCTATTTACTTTACAATGCCAGGTGTTTGAGCCGTACGGCACCTCAAAGTCTGTAATTCTGCTGCCATTGGCCAGACCAAGCCAGTCCTCCTCTAGTCAGTCCTCGCTTTTGCTCCTGCGACAAAAACAATGACTGGACATAGCAGCAGCATGGTGACAGCATTAAATATGACCCCAGCCAATACTTAAAAGTATTAATTTAACAAATTAGTGTCCAATAAGGAGCTTTATTTCCGTATTATTGATCCTGATCGTGAACGAATCTTTTTTAACCGGATCTTCTAAGTAAACCAGTTGAACTTGTTCACCAAATCAAACTGAATCATTTGAAACGATTCACGTCTCCAGTAAGCACTTATCCACAAAGACTTACTTATTAACATACCTGACACCCTCCTCTGACTCGCAATAAGCCAATTTCACAGTTATTCAGTTATTAGAACAACAGACTGGTTTAATTTAATTAATTAAATTTAATCAATTAACAACTAATTAAAACTAAATGAATTTGATCACAAAAGTCGAAGCGAAATCAAAACTAAAACTAATGAAAAATCCAAAGCTATTATAAGCTTGAGGCAAATATTTTAGAGAAAGCTGAAAACCTGTATTCATTGAAGAGGCTGTAAGAGTACTAATATTATGAGAACCAGACAGAACTGTTGTATAAACAGTCATAAATCTTGTAGCATACTTAATGTTTATTGCAGTGTATACTATAATATACTCTATAGTTGTAGAAAACCACAGTATTTTGTCATTTGCATGTATTGTTACCTTAGCAAGTATAGAATTACCACAACAGATTAATGTAAGTACTTTAACATAACAAGGTTTAAAAATGTATATACAGTATGTATTATAAATTGCTAAAGGTTTTTTTTTTCATCTGGGAGTGTACAGTACTTTTTTAACATTGTTGGGTCTGATTATAAAAAAAGATAATTGAATTCTGCAGAATGGAATTAAATGTTGAGTTGCCGAGAGTACTGTGTGCGTGCTGATAACTGAAAGCATTCCTAAATTATTTAGTGTTCAATAAATATTTTACGCCTAGTAAATATTAAATGATTTAATAAACAAACATGCAAAGCCAGCCCAAGAATGTAGTCAACTTTTTGAATGATGGATGTTTGAGCTCTTTGGGAACCTGCAGAGATTCAGTTGAATTCTGCAGGCTCAGAAGGCCTGCAGGTCAACATAAAGTGTATGATAGACAGTTTGCACTGTACTGTACTGTACTGCTGGGCCTGTAGATGTACACTGATAAATGATCAAAGGCCCATGTGTTCCAAAATATAACCAAAAAAACCCACTGCAGTGTATCAGTTATATACACAAATGAGTTTCAAGCTGTGTCTGGGTCAATTTAAGGACTTTTGAAGATGAGAGAGAAAGACTTAAGAAAATGCATTAAAAATAAATTAAAATGATTCTGCCTTAGTGCATTTTATGAACACTTGAATGTGGTTAAGTGTAAATAAAATGCAAAAAAAATAAATAAGTAAAAAAGTCTACGCAGAGACTAAACTGAAAAAATGCTGGGTTCCACACAATTCATTCATGGTGTCCTAACACAAATCGATTAAGTTAACTAACAAATTTAAAAATTTAATTTTTATTAAACATAAAAAATAACCTTGTCCAAATAAAGTCTCAAGAACTGTCTTGTTTCAGCTTATTTTGAATACATTTTATTTATTTATTTTTTTTTTTCAGAGTAGGATTCAGAATTATGATCGAAATATGTAATTTGCAAGCTTGTATAGTCATGGTATTCAACAATTTATTCAGTAGCTGTAGCTTTTATATTCCTTTATATCAAATTGAATGTTGATGATTGTGTTAACCTATACATTCATGTAAACAATGCTTCTATCACAAGAGCTTCTTCTTTGCTTGATTTTGAATCCATAATTTCTGTACTTTTTTAGAAGGTCCATAACACCGCCTAAATGTACCGTTTACAGTAGATTTGTTTTAATCCAAAAATGCTAATTAAACTTGTGAGCAAAACTGGAACATTGCATTAATCATTTGCAAATATAAAATCCATAAAATGAGTCTAACAGAACAAAATCGACCCTCATCAGCACATGAACGCGTAGCGTGCATGAACGCGTGTACACGCAAATGGCGGAGATGCACTATTAAACAAATTTACATTTGTTGACAGACAGTTTGGACTACTTATCAGAATTTTAGGTATTGTCAGCCCAATAATATTTAATTAAGTGAACATTTTTAGTCTTATGCATTACTCAAAATGTAAAAATCCCAGCCTGATCTCACGAGAAAACGTAAGTATTTAACGTTTTGCCAGTTTAGTGGCTGATTCGTACGAATTCATACGAGTTCAGTCGTACGAAATGGTACGATTTTAAAAAGGAGGCGTGGCACCTGACCCCACCCCTAACCCCAACCGTCATTGGGGGATAAGCAAATCGTACTAAATTGTACTAAATTGTACGAATTAGATCGTACGAATTCATACGAATTAGCCACTAAATAAAAAAGTTACGAATTGCCGTGAGATTGTGCTGAAAAATCCATATAAATACATTAGGATCATTTACTTTAATCATTCCTATTGGATTGTGAAAAGACTTTCAACCAGCACAACAAAAAAATGTTTCTGAAGACAATCACCTACTGCACCTTTAAGCGTTTTTATGTGATATTTCAAAATAAGCATAAAAATATGTTGATGGAAACATATCTAGTAAAAAATTGTACTCATAAATGGTTGTGAACGAGTTAATAGACACCAGACACAATAAATGATAAGTATCTCATGCTCTGTGTTCCAGGTAACCCTCTGTTAATGAACTCCTCCATGCAGCCCGACCTGACGGTGTCACGAACCTACACCAGCCCCATCTGTTTCCCAGACTCCATGGAGAAAGAGCTCATCCCTGAACCTGCCCTCTTTGACCCTCTTCCAGACCTCAAAGTCAAAGTGCACAGCTCCTTCATGGTGTCACTGGGTGTTTCGGAAAGGGCAGAGTACCATGCAAAAGCCCCATCCCAAACGTTCCCTCGCGGTGTGGTGCAGGAGATTGGGGGCGGAGGGGGCACATTGGGTGGGAGGGGCAAGAGTCAGCTGACCTCCATCCAGCCAGCGCTGATCTCCAGTATGACCAATGGCAAGCGGGCGCTCAGGACCAGTGGGGTGTTCGGGCATGGTGGAGGACGACTGGTGGTGCCTAATGCAGGTGTGTTTTTATTAAATGCATGCTGTAGAGAGATTGAAGGACAAGCAAGAGAGGGTAAAACATCAAATAAATATTGAAACAAAACAAAGCAAACTGCATGTGATAAAAAAAAGTATATTTTAGGTCCACATGATGCCTTTAGGAAATCTGATGCTTGTTTGGGATTTCAAAAGTATATAAGAACTGGCAGTCAAACAATCAGTTGGTATTTGAATTGATTTGTGTTAACACAGACAGACAGACAGACAGACAGACAGACAGAGACAGAGATGGATGGATGGATGGATGGATGGATGGATGGATGGATGGATGGATGGATGGATGGATGGATAGATAGATAGATAGATAGATAGATAGATAGATAGATAGATAGATAGATAGATAGATAGATAGATAGATAGATAGATAGATAGATAGATAGATAGATAGATAGATAGATAGATAGATAGATAGATAGATAGATTTGTTGATGGACTCATTAGTTTGTTTTTGGGGTTTTGTGTTACGCTCATGGCTGCCTTTATTGAATATACAGTAAAATGTTTTATCCATAATTATTATTACAATTACAATATCTGTCTTCCATTTTAATATTTATTCAAATGTAATTTATTATGTGGATTTTTCATCAGTGTCGTTAACCTGCTGGTACATGTCGCAGATCTTTCAGAAATCATTATAATTTTCTGATTTGATGCTTAAGAGGCATTTTTTTTTTATCATCGTCTATAGCTGCACATTCATAAACCCAAAAAATCTGTTTGTAATCAGAGTAGTCTCCAAATCCAAATAGAATTTAGCTTGTTGTAAAAATCTGTTTGCTTTGCAGCATATAACAGATTATTTTTTATATATTAATCCAAAACAAACAATAATTATTGTTTGACCACTATAGAGCGGCATGTCAGAATCAGGTAGATTAAAAATAAACTGTCCAAGGTGAAGTTTCTTTTATTTGTGCAACTCTTAAAACACATTTTTAAGTAGGCATTTTAGACAGCATAGTGCTGTCGTCTCACAGCAGGAAGGTCGCTGGTTCGAGCCTTGGCTGGGTCAGTTGGCATTTTTGTGTGGAGTTCGTGTGGGTTTCCTCCTGGTGCTCCAGTTTTCCCCATAGTCCAAAGACATGTGGTACAGGTGAATTGAGTAGGCTAAATTGTCTATAGTGTATGAGTGTGAATGAGAGTGTGTGGATGTTTCCTAGAGATGGGTTGTGGCTGGAAGGGCATCCACAAAAAACGTGCTGGATAAGTTGGCGGTTCATTCCACTGTGGCGACCCCGGATTAATAAAGGGACTAAGCCGAAAAGAAAATGAATGAATGAATGAATGAATGAATGAATGAATGAATGAATGAATGAATGAATGGATGAATGAATAATTTGCCTATTTCATGTCAGAACAGCTACATTATTGTCTTAAAAAAAAACTTCTTAAAATACATTGTGACTCAACAACAGCATTCCCACAAATTGGATATATGACAAATATATGAAGAGTTCAGATGCAAAAACCTCTAAGTGCATCTGAAATTTCCATAGGAAATTAGCATTATTCTCAGCTTCTTTCCTTTATGTTGAGGTATTTCACTTTGAAGACTATGAAAAGAACTGATTCTTTGCCTTGAAAGTGAATTTATTGAACCTACACACTAGAGCTTAATAAAAATGATAATTTATGATGAAAATTTCAGAAGGCATGAACTGTTCATATGCAAAGTACATATATGACAAGGAAATTCATATTTGAATTATTATAAATTTATATATGTCATGCAGTATATGCAAAATATATGTTGAAATACTAGCAAAAATAGCTTTTCAACCATTTTAATTACAAATATGTACATAATTGTTAGCTATAATATTGGTATAAATAATATATATTATGTACATAATTGTTTGCTACAATATATGGTCATATATTAACACACACACACACACACATACACACACACACACACACACACACACACACACACACACACACACACACACACACACACACACACACACACACACACACACACACACACACACACACATATATATATATATATATATATATATATATATATATATATATATATATATATGTGTGTGTGTGTGTGTGTAGAGGACCATATATACCATATGCCATATTCACATAAATAATGTAACCCAAAAGTTAAACTTTATGCAATTCAATTAGATTTCCTTCCAATTTAATCACATAAATCCAACTTTAAGGTTAGCATTAGTTTAAGCTTAACCCCTTCATGTTCAGTTTGCATGAATGAATTAAATACATTTTTATGATAAGTGCTGTACTGTTTTATGCTTGTATAATACACAAACTTTACTCATTTTTAATAAGATATTGTTATTTACCTAATATAATCACCTTTTAAGTTCTTAGATATATAAAATTATAACTCAAAACAGGATACATTTTTAAATATGTATTGTGTAATTTTTCCAAAGTCCAAAAGTAACATCTAAACTGACCAAAATGCAACAAATTAGGTATAGTTTATGTAATTTGATCAGGTTTTGTTTCAAGTCTATTCAAGTCATGTTAAGACAGTATCATTCATAACAGTAATAATTATGTTATACTTTTTTTATTATTATTATTATTTTTTATTATTATTATTATTTGCTTAATTGTAATTACTGGCAATAATCATTTTTTGAGTGTACTTCATATATAGATATATAATTTGCATATATTTCCATATAACAGATATCTTTGTGGTTTATATTGAGGGAGTGCAGTTATCACTAGAATATCATGCAACTAAAAAAGGCTCTCAGCCAATCAGATTCTAGAAGCATGCTTCAGTTTTTGTATGATGTGACAATATCACTGTGATCAAGTTCATTTGATTGTTTTACATGATATCTGTTTACATGCACTCTAAGTAGGCAGCCAAACATACTTGCTTCGTCATTTTTGGAGATACAGACTAGTATGCAAGCACCCTTCAGTCTCTTCTGTATTCTCTCTCCATCTCTCCGTTCTTGTCTTCCTCTCTCACACATTCAGTGTATCCGGTGGCAGTGCACGGCACCCAGCGGCTGAGAGAGGGGGCAACTGACAGAGAAGCAGACAGACCAGCAGGGCGGCATTGATTTAGGAGTCTCTAGGGTCCATCTCTCTCTCCCTCCTTTACACTCCTTTGCTCTTTTCCACCTCTGATCCTGTCACATGCAGTAAAGAGTCTTGACAGGCTTGCAGAAGTGTGTGAGAAAGGTTAGAGGCTAGTGCATCTGTTGAAGCGTGCCGAAGCCTTTTTAAGACCTTTACAGGCGAATAGTGACTCTAACAACTTTACAGAAGCCTCATCACTTCACAAGGTGCACCTCGTACACAGAAGGAAGGTTTCAGATTGATTTTTAAGACGACATGTTGTCATGCAAGAGTCCCAGAAGAAAAATGTTGAGCTTTTTTTGTGATTCCAGGCCTTGTGCCGAAATATTCATTCCACTGAAAGGGCTTCAGGGAAATTAAGAGCGCTTCCAAAAGAGGAACTTTTGTTTGTTCCAGTTTAGCATCCAAGTCCCATTCCGTCATGTTGTCAGATCATATAAATTGTTTGCTTTTGTGTGTGTGTTTGTGTTTTGTTTTCGGCTAGGTGTGAGTTTGCTGGTGCCTCATGGAGCGATTGAAGAGGACACAACCTGGGAACTGTACATGAGCATTACACAGCAGGACTCCAGGTAATATATCCAGGACACTGACGCACAAAAGTGAGGCGCTGTTCAACTATTCTGCTGTTTCACAACCTAGAGAGATGCCTATGGAAAGAGAAAAAGGCACAGTATTGAGGCTGATCCAACTTAAATATGCTGTTTTGTAAGTTGTCTGTAACTGTTTTTTTGTCAGATACTAAAAACTTTTATGGAGAACTGCAACACACTTTGTAAAATACATCCAAGATGGCACACAAAGCCATACCAGTCATTATAAATATTAAATAATAGCCAAGCTTCCATATACATAAAACAAAACGAAGTTAGTTTTGAGTTTGTATCATATATATTTGTAAGATTATTGCAGCTGGTAAATAGCTGGTTGAGCAGTTACATAACAAGTGTTTAACTTTTTTGTTATTCAAATTTTTTTTTTTTCTATTTAGTCATGGTCAGACACAAGATTTAAAGAAATAATACAATTGAAAGTGACACTGACTTTTTCGTTTTTAGTTTTGCAAAGCTGTGGGACCTATTCTGCCTCTTTTCTAATGTCTAGGGCTGGGCGATCTTGCAAAAATAAATTAATCACAATTTCATGTTTCAAATAAATTGGTACTAATAATGACTGAATATTTTTAACAATACATTTAGGTATATTATGATATGTTCCCCTTCGGTTGGGGAACTTCAGTGCCATGAATGGGAGGATTCGGATCAGAAGCCGCTTATCTGGAGAGTATTGAACGGGCCAATGAATGAAATTAATTGGCAGCGTAAGCTTGCGCAGGTGTGCGACATCTGCAATTATCTCAGCATATAAGCACACCTGAAGCCAGCAGACGCCTTCCTTTTCGCTTCAGATCCTTTCTGAGTGAGTCGATGAGGGTTCCTCTTGCTGATCAGCACTTCAGAGCGAACGAGTGTGTCTCCCGGTCCAGAGTGGGTCTTCGCGGTGGCAGACGGTCGAGCTGGGTTACTCCCTTGCCTGCGGTTCTTTGGGTCCGGTCCTCCAGAGCGGTGCGTATAGTTGCAACTTTCCTAAAAGAGCAACACAGTCGTGCAGCACGTCCTTTTCAGGATGGCGCTCCGACTGTGCGTTTCTGGATGCGGGGGTTTCCTGTCTCCGGATGATGGACACGATCACTGCATTGCATGTTTGGGGGTCCAGCATGTTAATGCGGTGCTCGCGGGCGGTTCATGTCGTCATTGCGATGCCATGACCGTTGCACAGCTAAGATCGCGGCTAACTTTCGCAAGAGAGCGAGCCACCCCAGTTGCCTCCTGTTCTAAAAAAGCAGCGGGCGCTCGGGCAGATCTGAGGGTTTCAGCGGGAGATAATCCGCCGCCCACGGGCTCGCGGACCTCTCGCTCCTCACGGCGCTCCATCCAAGCTTCGAGTGGTGAGAGTGATCCGTCTAACCAGATGGTAGCTCTCACACTCGCTGACACCGGAGATCAGATGTCCTCCGCGGCATCGGAGGGTGGGCTTTCACTGTCCGACGAAGATCCGGACCCGCTCGCCCCCTCCGGGCAGGTGAGCGCTGTCAAATCGGATCCTGAAGCGGACATGTTAGCCGTGCTTTCCCGGGCTGCTTCGGCCGTGGGGTTGGAGATGGTTTATCCCCCAGCTCCGCGGCCGGACCGACTAGATGGGTGCTACGTAGAGGACCAGAAGGCGAAGCCTTCGAAGCCTCTCGTCCCCTTCTTCCCGGAAGTGCACAGTAGGCTCACGCAGTCCTGGAGGGCACCTTTCTCTGCCCGTGCTGCGAGTGCCTCCGCCCTCACCGCCCTTGACGGCGGAGCTGCCAGGGGGTATGAGGCGATCCCGTCAGTGGAGCGCGCTATCGCGGTCAATCTTTGTCCGCGCGGCGCCTCTACGTGGCGGGGTTTGCCCCGCCTCCCGTCCAAAGCCTGTAGGTTGTCTGCCTCCCTCGGAGCCAGAGCTTATAAGGCTGCGGGCCAGGCTGCTTCTGCTTTGCACGCGATGGCCACCTACCAGCGCTACCAAGCGCAGGCGCTGGCCGAGCTGCACGAGGGCGGGTCCAACCCAAGCTTATTACATGAGCTGCGCACCGCGACCGACTATGCTCTTCGGACTACTAAGTCCGCCGCGTGTGCGCTGGGGAGGACGATGTCCACACTTGTGGTTCAGGAACGCCACCTCTGGCTAAACCTGGCCGATATGCGCGACGTTGACAAAGTTCGCTTTCTTGACTCGCCCATATCCCAGGCTGGCCTGTTCGGCGACACCGTTGGTGAATTCACCCAGGAATTCAAGGCGGTGAAAGAGCAGTCGGATGCGATGGGCAATGTCATCTATCGGCGTGGCCGTAAGCCCGCTCCGCCCGCCGAGCCATCCACCTCCGCTGTTCCTCGCCGAGGGCGCCCGCCAACGAGTGCTGCCCCGCCCCCGCCTGCGCCTCCGGCCAAGCGGGCGCGGCGTTCACCTCGAAAGCAGGCAGCCCCTCCTGCCCAGGGCGCCGTTAAGTCCGGTAAACGGACCGCGAAGCGTCCCTGAGACAGGCCATCCGGAGAAGAGGAAACTTGCTCTTTCCCCGCTGGAGGGCGGGGCCCCGATAACAACGGTACTTTTCAGTGCCACCAAAACATCAGTAAAAGAGCACTTTTTCCCTTCCCCGGATGTGACTGCACGAGTTCTGCCAGTCCGGGACGCGCTGCCTTCCGGCTCGCAGACTCTACGTGCTTCGCCAGTGGCTCACGAGCGCTGGGGGGACGGTCTCCCTTCCCTCAGCCCTCCAGCCCCCTCTCCGGAGTCAGGGTGCGGAGCCAGAGCGAATCGCTCTCCTCCAGCTCTTCCGCGGGACCCTCGTGCTTCCCGGATCAGCACACCCACTCCGCGCTGCCCCACCGCTGGTACGTCAGCGATTGTAGCGATGACTCCATTAGCGAGGGCTCTGCCTGCCTGGTTAGCGCGGGCCAGCCCCTCGCGGTGGCTCATACGCACAATCAGACTCGGTTACGCGATTCAGTTCGCGAAACGGCCCCCCAAGTTTACGGGCGTGTATTTCTCCAGGGTCAACCCCCTGTCCGCCCCTGTCTTGCGAGAGGAGATTGCTGCCCTCCTGGCGAAGGGTGCAATCGAGCCGGTTCCTCCAGCCGAGATGGAGAGTGGGTTTTACAGCCCATACTTCATCGTACCCAAAAAGAGCGGTGAGTCACGGCCAATCCTAGATCTGCGCGTTTTGAACCGCTGTCTGCACAAGCTGCCGTTCAGAATGCTCACGCAGAGGCGCATTCTTCAATGCGTTCGTCCTCAGGATTGGTTTGCAGCCATAGACCTGAAGGACGCGTATTTCCATGTCTCCATTCTTCCACGCCACCGCCAATTTCTGCGGTTTGCGTTCGAGGGTCGAGCGTGGCAGTACAAGGTCCTCCCCTTCGGGCTCTCTCTGTCTCCGCGGGTCTTCACCAAACTCGTGGAGGGTGCCCTAGCGCCCCTTCGGCTCGCGGGCATTCGCATACTCAGTTATCTCGATGACTGGCTGATTTTAGCCCACTCGCGGGAGCAATTGATTATGCACAGGGACGAGGTGCTTCGGCATCTCCGCCTACTGGGGCTTCAGGTCAACCGAGAAAAGAGCAAACTCGCCCCCGTGCAGAGGATTTCTTTTCTCGGGATGGAGCTGGACTCGATCACCATGGTAGCGCACCTCTCCGAGGAACGCGCTCGCCTGTTGCTGAACTGTCTGAGGGAGCTCGACAGCAAACTAGTGGTCCCACTGAAGTTCTTTCAGAGGCTCCTGGGGCATATGGCATCCGCAGCCGCCGTCACGCCGCTCGGGTTGCTCCATATGAGACCACTTCAGCACTGGCTTCACGATCGGGTCCCCAGACGCGCATGGCACGCGGGCACACACCGGGTCTTGGTTACTGCGCTGTGTCGCCGCGCCCTCAGCCCTTGGAACGACCCCTCGTTCCTACAGGCCGGTGTGCCTCTAGGACAGGCGTCCAGCCATGTTGTTGTTTCAACAGACGCTTCCAACACGGGTTGGGGGGCCGTGTGTCGCGGGCATGCGGCTGCGGGCCTCTGGAAGGGTGCCCAGCTGCATTGGCATATCAATCGCCTAGAGCTGTTGGCAGTGTTCCTCGCTCTCCACCGCTTTTTACCGGTGCTGGAGCGGCAACACGTGCTGGTCAGGACGGACAGTACGGCGGCGGCGGCGTATATCAACCGCATGGGGGGTATGCGCTCTCGCCGCATGTCTCAGCTTGCCCGCCGTCTGCTCCTCTGGAGTCACCCGTGGCTGAAATCGCTGCGCGCCATTCACGTCCCAGGCACGCTCAATCGTGCAGCCGATGCGCTCTCACGACAGCTGTTACGCCCTGGAGAATGGAGACTCCACCCCGAGTCTGTTCAGCTGATATGGGCGCGATTCGGGGAGGCCCAGATCGATCTGTTTGCTTCCCCCGAGAACGCTCACTGCCAGTTGTTTTTTTCCCTGACCGAGGGCTCTCTCGGCACGGATGCACTGGCCCACAGCTGGCCTCGGGGCATGCGCAAGTATGCGTTTCCCCCAGTGAGCCTGCTCGCGCAGTTTCTGTGCAAGGTCAGGGAGGACGAGGAACAGGTTCTGCTAGTTGCGCCCCTTTGGCCCAACCGGACCTGGATATCAGAGCTCTCACTCCTCGCGACGGCCCTCCCCTGGCGGATCCCTTTGAGAGAGGACCTACACTCTCAGGGACAGGGCACCATCTGGCACCCTCGCCCCGATCTTTGGAACCTCCACGTGTGGTCCCTAGACGCGAGGAAGACTTAGGTAACCTACCGACTGCGGTGGTTAATACCATCACTCAGGCTAGAGCCCCCTCCACGAGGCGCGCCTACGCCCTGAAGTGGAGTCTATTCACTGAATGGTGCGTCTCTCGCAGAGAAGACCCCCGAAATTGCCAGATTAGTGTTGTGCTCTCTTTCCTTCAAGAGAAGTTGGACAGCAGGCTGTCGCCCTCCACTCTCAAGGTTTACGTGGCCGCCATCTCCGCTTATCATAGCGCGGTAGCTGGCG